TTTTTTTTTTTTTAATTCTTATATGTTGAAACACCTTTAACACATGATACCTAATTCAAGCTCATATGAAAAGAGGAATATAGAAACAGAATGTTGCTAATGTCCTTAAACGCTCTAAAAATATCTTGACAGAGACCCAATATCGCTGAGCCGATTTCTTTGAAGACTTATCTACTACCACTTTCGTATTCTACAGCTTTTTCAAAGAACTTGACGGTTTCGGCATTGTCCCATGTCAACATATAATCAAAAGTCATATTTTTGCAACATTGGAAGGTCCACAACCACAAGAATGTGTTTTTTTTTGTTTTTGTTTTTTTTGTCCTTGTCCTCAAGTGTGTGTTTGAATAAACTATTATATACAGTTATCAAAATCAATACGGCTACTAATTAATAAAAGTTTGATTAAATTGATAGTTATTAATTAAAAATTTTTAATTTAAAGTTAAAATTAATAATTTAAATTTTTATAATATTAAATAATTAATTTTTCAGTGTAAAAAATAAAAATCCAATAAGGCCAAACCCTAAAAAGTCTGATTTAGTTTGGTACTGAATTTTGTTCTAAATCAATTTTATTTATTATGGTTCACCTAACATCACGGAAATATTCCTTTTAATTTGAACTTAACAAAAATAAAACGGAACTTCAAGCTTGAAATATTATAATATTTTTAATTACTTCCTATGTTTAATTACTCTCTTCTTTAAATTTAGTTGTATATGCTTATTTATTCATTTATGTATTTTTAAGTAATGTTTTTTTATAATATATAAATAATAATTATTTTTATATAAAATTAAACAGCTTTACAAGACTTATGAATATAATTTTTTAAAAAAAAATTATTTAATATATATTATAAAAAAATATTACCTAAACATATATATACAGGCACAGCTAAACTAAAACAACAAAACTTAAATTGAAAGAGTAATTTTCTGTAAATGCCATTGACATTTTATTTGATTGGTACAATCGAAATGTACCGACACCTAATATTCTATAAAAGGAAGATTTTTTTTATTTGATTAGTACAATCGAAATGTACCCGACACCTCATCCTAATCATCATGGGCTTTTTTTCAAATCTCCAATTATTTCCTTTGATTTTTAAACTCTATAAAAGACTTGTTCATAATCACATTTTACTTCAAGTGCCATTTCCAATGTGGCATACGCACATTCCCTGACACATACGTCCGTGCAAGCAAAGCAAACCTTCTGTCTCTTTGCTACCGTTTCCGTGAATAAATTTTCCATTAATAACTAGTTTGGTTGGACGGAACGAATGAGAGTGAAAGGGAGGTAGCCTTATTTTAACTAGTCAAAGTAAGTTGTTAAATTAATAAAATAATTTAATTAATTATAATATATTTTAAAATTTAGTATATATATTATTTTTTTTATTATTTTAATTTTTTACATATTATATTTATTATAAAAAAATTTAGGTTATTTTCATCTAATTATTTATAATTTTTCATATTTAATATCCTAAACTAATATAATTTATAATATTTTTATTATAACCATTATTTAAATTTAAGAGAAAATTTTAAGACTTAATTAAATGTTTTTGTAAAAGATGAGAATATTATAATCTAAATAAATGAAATTTGCATCAAGTCTCTTAATTAAACCTAAACTCAAAGATATTCTCCCTTGAACTTTTCCAATTGTTTTAGGATTTTTTTTTTATTTTTGTCATTTAGTTTGGAAACTGATTGGATTAATAAAAACTTTAATGGTTAAAAGGGTTTGAATTTTTATTTAGTTAATAGTTTCAACTTCTAAGTACTAATTACATTTTCCATCTTTCCATGTATTATTTAGGACAAAAAAAGATAACTTTTAATAAATAAACTAGTAAAAAACTAGACATTTTTAGATAAAAAGATTAAAATTTAGAAATTATTTGAATCAATTGATCTATTATTTAAATATTATCTTAGTGAACCATTGTTTCTTATCTTAATAAAATTATTCATTTAATAAGAAATTATTAAAGATATAGGAAGAAGAAAGCACATTTATTTCTTAATTTTATTAAAGTTCTTAAGAAAATTTTAACAAAGAGATAATCAAAATAAAAATTTTTCTTCAAAAAAATTAATTAATGTCATAAAAATACTAAAATAATCAATAAAAAATTCCACCCCCAACTTAATTTTCTAGCTCCACTGTTGTTCTCCTCAAACCAAATAGCCTGTAAGCACATCTAGAAATTCGATACCACAACAAATCAATTGAATTTCTCAGCCACGGTCACAATTAGCTATGCCATCTCGTACCATCGTACGTACTCGCCTCCCATAGCCATAACGGCATACATGAATATTTTTTTGAACGGTTTATAACTTTTGGAGAAGAGAGAATATTTTTTCAAACAGTTTATAACTTTTGGAGGAGGGAGATGAAGAGTTTCAAGACATTAGTAGGGTTCAAAATCTTGATCAATTTAATTTAAATACTTTAGAGATTTAGAAGTAAATTATTTAAATTTAAAGATTTGATTCATAACAGTATATCTGATTAAAAATAATATATAAGTTTATTTTGATGTCATATTATTATATTAATATTATTTTGCATAAATTTATTTTTTTAATATTTAACTTTCAAATTAAACATATATTAAAACACCCATCTTCTACGCACTTAACCCTTGTGACCCAATGACTAATGTCATTAAAAAAGTGCATATCCCCCTCTTTTGAGCGGGTTTCAAACCCATCCTATGACAAAAAAGTTCAAAAAAAAAAAAAAAAACACCCATCTTCTGCACATGTATCTTACGACCTAATAATTTTAAGTCAAATTAAAAGGTACATCCTCTAATTAAAGGGTTGGGATTCAAACTGCCCCCTCAAATGTAATCTTGTTTGAAAAGAAAAATAAGAAAAAAAAAAACGCCCATCTTCTAATACATCCAATAAAACAGAGTTTCGTCAAAAGTCAAATACTTATTATATTATTCGAAAGAAAGGGCTTGAAATTTGCAAAAGAAGAAAAGAAACACGAAAGAGATATGACCGGCTAACACAAAGGTTGACACTGTGTCAGCCGGCAAAAAAAAATTTGCCAATTTTGGGGCAGCAACGACGTCATTTTTGCCCCCCAAAAAGGGCAAATGCTTTTGACCAGGGCCCGGCTCTATTCAGATAGCCGAGCTTGGTCACTGTTTTGCCTCTAACCTTACTTCAATTTGTTGTCTGTTTCCTTTTGGGAAAGAATAAGGCCATGCATTGGACATGCTCTACGTCCTTAATTATCTTAGCCATTCATCTCCATATTTAGACACGGTAAGTACTATATTTTAATTTTTTTTTTTTATGTACCTAATGTTCACTATTTCGTTATAGGTTTCCTTTTATTATTATTTATTATTATTTTCTCTTTTTTCATTCGTATATAAGAAAAATATATCAGTAGTCCTCTTTTCTAAAATCCTTATACCTTTAGCTCCAAGTGTGTTGGGTCCAAATAGAAAGCACATGTTAAGTTTGTAGGTGAGATTCATGAGGTTTGAGTTTTGAGTCAACAATTAGAGAAAGCGTAATGCCCAAGGGACCTTTTGGTCCATAGGCTGATGGGTCCCTCCAGCCTTTTTTTGTTCGTTTAGTTCTAATAATTTTAATTTATATTTATAAGTCCTATAATTTATTTTTCTAAAATATTAAGCTTAAACTTTAATAGTTAAGCTCTAAATTTTAGTAATATAAACTTTAAATCCTAAAATTTGAATCATGACATTCTAAAAATCTAAACCTAACACTTTAAACCTTAAATTCAAAATATTAAATATTAAAATAGTCTAAACCTTTACTCTTTTATTGTTGGGAGAATAACTGGATTACATTACTTTTAATCATTCATAAAGAGATGGCCTTCAATATCAAGGATCCACCTCTCCATTAATAGTTAAATGAAGCATGGTAATGAAAATTTTGAATTGAACTCTTATACTTAAATATTAAAAAGAAATTAAAGAAATTTTAAGAATTAAAACAAACATAAATTACTAATTGTGGGAATCTTTTCATAAATTTCTCCATAAAGTTTTGAAATGGGAATCAATGGAGGTGCCGTTTACACGTCTATTCGGTCCGTTTGGCCTTTGAGGGACTTGGCCGCTCCATGATTTTCGTTAGAGAAATTTAATTTCATTTAAAGCATTAAACTGATGTGTAGATTTTTTTTTTTTTTTTTTTTTTGTTGCATAATTG